CGAGATCTCACTCGAGTACCATTCTTTTGAGGCCTGCTTATTTCGTATTTTGCTTTGTAACGTTGCGGGAAAACTATCAAAGGTGAACTGGATTTTCGTGGAAATAAAAAAAATACGTAAACGGACCGTTTGATGTTCAAAAATACCGCCCTTTCAGCATCGCAAATGGATAGCCGTAATTTATGTACATTTGTGAATCCGATACTGGAGGGCTGTACGTAAAAGAATGCAAGTGGAAAATTGCAAATTCTCGAAAGATACATAAAAGTTTTATAGGTTGTGAATGTTTTCATTTCATTGTATTTCCTTATTTTGTTGAACTCTTTTGTTGTTTCAATAAGTATTGAGTAATAATATTTTGACGATTAAACGGTTAAGTCATTTATTTTTCGTACACACGCACGGAAGTATAAAGTACTCATATTTTTGTGTTATTTATTCATATTATGTAAAGTTGTTTCTATCGTTATTCAGTAGGTATCGAATTTATCAATAAAATGCATAATAGTTCAAAAGTGTAAACTCTGATTAGTTTGGTGTGGTATGCAAAACAATCTAGGTAGGTACCTTTTTATTTATTAAAATATGTCAATTTCAAATGTTACACTGTAGTTTTTTAGTATTTTTATTCCATGACTTACGTTATTTTGAGTACAGCCCGTTGATCAATATGCGTGTTTTTATGAGTCAGTTTATTAAAGCCCAGGGAATTTATATTTTTCAAAATATTTACTTTGGTATTTTTAAAGTGGCTCTTATTGCACTGGTTTAAGGTTCAAAATGGACTTCACATGTGCATGCGTTTTCATTATAATGTTTTAATAACATAAGTAAAAAATTCGCAGTGTAACTAAAATAAATTCAATTTTTTGGGTGAATAAACCAATTGTATTAGGTAAGGTAAATAAATAAAATCGCGTCGTTTATCACTTGTTTTTCTTGCAACTGTGTCCAAACAGTATTTAAGAACAATTGACTGCCAAAACAGGGAGCTTGTAGCTTAGTGTTTGCAACGCTTCGATGGCGATTAACAAAACTAACTACATTAAGTAACTTTCACTTGTAAATTTAAAAGACTTGCCACTTACCTTACACCTTCCCTTCACTAATTTACATTTCTACCTACTTGTGCACTTCAGTGAGCTTGTTTATTACAAGCTTTTATTTAGTTTTGAAATTGTATCGTCATTAGCTCCTAGAACCCTAAAGCTTCAACCAAACCAACGCGTGCAGTTCGTCATCGTCGACGTGATCAGAGACAAATGACAGGTCGCGCGGGCTGTCATGGGTCGCGCGACCTATGATTTGGTGGTGTGGTTGAAGCATTTAAGCGGTCGCATGAGTCCGCGGTAACAATTGATTTCTATTGTTTCTCGATTCGCTGGTGCTCGATAGGGCTATAAAAATCACAAAGACAAAATTATTCCTATTTTTGTGCAGTAGTGGGTAGCAAAGCAATCTAGGTAGATTATAAATGAGCCTGTTGAAATATGTGCTCAAAATTCCCAAGGGCGGAGATTTATTTATATGACGTTCTACGTGACGCACATGTACCTAGAATCTGCTACATACCCAAGAGGGATAGGTAACTGTAGGTTGATAAAATGACTTAGAGTTTTTACTATTAAAAGAAACTTGTTGGTTGTAATATCACTTGCATAGAACGTTATTAACATATTCAGAGACCTTGGGGTAAGTTTATAGATGGACAATTAAAATTGTTCACTTACCTTATATGCGCCTCTCCACCAAACTGCACTCCTCTTGAAGTGTCATGGCTCGAATCACATCCCAGTTGGAGTGACACGGGACTATTCCCACCTCTCGTTCCCACCGCTGCAACTCTTGTGTAGCCAGGATCTACAGCTTGACCGCCAATAAAAACCCAACCAGTGAAGGTCAAGTTTGTCCCGGAGTGAGGTACAGGCAAAAGAAACAAGTCCTGCTGTGGTACATAATATAGTTAGTTAGGCTTACTTTTTGAAAATATTAGCACTATACAATACACTCATGGCTAACGAAACATCACTAAAATAACTCGTCTAAAACATTGCCAGACTTAAAAACAAAAATTTCAAACACAAAAACGTCAACTTAAAATTGTGTCAATAGACATCCAGAATTTTCAAATTATATTATCAATTTATTAATTTTTCATTTTCTTGTAGTCTTACTTTTATTTTACGTAATCGTAAACATCAATCATCTTTACTGAAATGATGTAGAGACAACCCCGAAAGCTCCTAATCCTTTGAGCTTACTTTCTCAAAGAGTCCTCTGGGTATCAAGTTAGAGACTTAATTAAAAAGTAACTAAGTACGCATAAACATTTTGCTAAATTATTTTTTACGTAATTTGGCCTTCTTAAATATTTATTTATCTGTAATTTGACAATTAAAAAAACAGAAAGGAAAATAAATAAATAATAAATAAATAAATATCCTTGGACATTTTACACTGCGCTTCTAGTCCCAAACTAAGCAAAGCTTGTACTATGGGTACTAGACAACGGATATAAACATACTTAAATACTTTTTTTTGTAAATACATACATATTATACATAGAAAACACCCAGTCCAATACAAACAAATATGTTCATGCACACAAATGTTTGTACTGTGCGGGAATCGAACCCGCAACCTCCGGAATAGAAGTCCGTTTCGAACCACTACACCAAACGGCCGACTAATTGCTACAACGTCAATGCAAGAGCAAATTATGCCAAGAAAAGTCAGATTTTTAAATTATATACTTACTTAGTTACTAGTGTTTTTTGTCGCAGCCTTATTCTGCCATTTTCATGTCCTGAATTTACTTTAGAAGTTTTATTTTGAGGGTTTCGCCACAAGTTTCGCTTCATCTTCTATCTTCGTTTATTTTGGGATATAAATAGTTTTTAGGTACAATTCCGTCTGATTTTAATTAGTTAAATCCGTGTAAATCGGTACGAAAATCACGTATCGCCTGTCATCGTGTTACAACGCCAATTTCCTTGAGACCAAGTTCTGTTATTTGCTATTTTGGAAGCAGACTAAGGCTGGGCTGCACCATCTCACTTTAACTTTGACAAATGTCCAAGAACTGACAAACTCCATACAAAAAACACCGGTTATCGTTTTAGTTACGGTCAAAGTTAGGTGGTGCAACTCAGCCTAAGCAGTGTAATGCCTGTTTTCATCATCAATCCCTAATTTTTATGTGACCCCTTTATAATCTAAATGCCTGTTATGTGTTATCATTATTATATTCAAAATTAGGGATTGATGGTGAAAACGGGCATAAATCTAAAATTAATTATTGTGATAATGCTTTGGACATGTGGTTAAGGTAGGTTTAGCTCGTGGAAGCGGTCGCTTGCACTTATTACTTTCTCTAAAACATTTTATAAAAATAGGTATAAATAAATGAGGAAATTAAATAATAACAACAATTACACGGGTAGAAATAGATGTTTATTACCTATTCTATATTAACAGAATGAAGACTATACACAACCTATAACATTATAGTACACGATACAATATTTGTACATAATCCTTTGATAAAAATTTGATAAATGCTTAAAATGAAGCAAATATTTGATATGTTAATAAATTATTTGTGTCATTGATATTTCTACAAACTGCAGTGCGCAATGTTTTTGAATAATTTTAAACGAATGGAATTAATTTCAATACATTATAATGGTTTCAGATTTGAAAATCGCTTTTCAATTGTTTAATCAAATTTTTATTTTAGAACGTTCATCTGTAGTTGAAAACAAAAAAAGTTATACTGTGTAGAGTGAGCTTAAATTGTAGATACAAAGTAGAATCATGTTTCGTGTTATGTTTACATGCTGCGATACGGATACACGAGTACACGGCAAGCGTTCGATTTTATGTTTATTGGCAGTTTTTAAGCCATCCTGTATAACTTTCAGCAGTATAACAACAGTACAGAAATAGTACAACGACATACCTTTACAATGTGTACTAAAAAAATATCGAAGCAGTTATTCCTGGAACGTAAAATAATATTGAAAAAATATTTTTGTATGTTTGGTTTTGTGTATTTAAACCACGCACATGGTTTATAAAGCTTAATTAAAAATTACCTTACAAAAGTAAATATTCGAACAGGCTTTCCATTTAAACAAGTACAAATTCCAAAGCTAGGTTTAAATGCGTGTACACGTGAAAAGGTAAAATTAAATATTTGAATTTATCCAATTCTCTTACATAATAATATTATTATAATTCGTTTAACAATAATTTCTTTTTGAAAGCCACATTTAGACAATAAAGGCTTTTAATCAAGCTAAGTGAGCTTTGTATAATTAAATCTTTTACCGAGTGACTTTGTTCATTAAAATCCAAATTAACATCGTGTTAATTAATTTAAAATACACGACATTAAAAGTATGTACAACAAAAGTAATTATTAACATGGGAACTTTTAGTTCATTTGAGTGTCACATAATCCAAATTTTATTAATTTCAACGCGACAGAGTGGTAACAAATTTATGCAGAAAGTGAAACAGTTCCAAGGGTCCTGTTTGTTTTACCGAAGATTTCTCGCAACTTTTTGTATGCTCATTTATTATTTTTTATGTGTTGCCAGGTTGTTTGGGAGCACAATGACAAATAAGGAAAAGCCGTTCGTTCCAGTTTTTTGTACTTTTTACTTATATTTACTCGCAAACTTCATAAAATGTACAAAGTTGAATCATCGTATTTAATTTAAAAAATTTCATCTATTCTGTATCTAAAAACAATTTGAAGACAACAGGAATAAATACTTTATTTTAACTAGAATTTATGTGATGCATGTACCACTAAAGTTGTGACCTATTTTAGCAACAATATGACTATTAACAGTTGATATCAGAAGTAAAGAATAAATATTTTCAAACAATCCTAATTGTACAATACAAGTAAGTGTGACTTATATTTACATTTGTGTCGAGATCAACATTTACATTAAGGTACACAATTCAAGAAATGTACACGACATAAATTTAACATTAACATCTAATATCACAAATATCTTTGTTTCATATCCACTTATGTTTAAAACAGCAGTTGCGCTAGTATCGCAGTCAGGATCGAATTAGGTACTATCCTGCCAACTGCCGAGAAAGCTTTCAACCTAATTTCGTTTTGCACGGGGTGTCCGTACGACTCTTCTATCGATTGCATAATTTCTTTCGGGCACGGCAAAGTTTCTAGCGGTATGTCGATTAACTTTTTTGCAGTTGTTTTTGGTTTTACATCATACTCCTCATTTTTGTCGTAATAATCGTAGCTATCGTCGGAGAGGACATTAGTGTTGTCCACGTCTTCGGTCTCCTGTGCGTTAGTGTGCCTATCGATAGGGTCTTCGATACATGATATTTTTTCGAGAGCGTGCTTCAGAGTCCCGTCCTTCGTCTCGTTGCGGAGCGCGTATATCCAGGATAGACGGCAATTACAGTTGAGTGGGTTACCTGAAATGAGAGGGTGAATTAGTCTGTGTGCAGAGTAATGAAACACCACTATAATTTAGCCCGGCTTGAAGGCTTTTTGTTACACGAGCTTTATAAGCTCCTCCCTAATGGGTGCTTCAGTTTTACTTGCAAAATTGTGTGGGATAATCTAAGGCACGAATTGTAACATGAGTCACGGTAAAAGGTTAAAATATTAATAGTTTTGTCAAGGTATGTATTCATGTTACGTTTTAGATTAGAATTCTGTCCTCAAGCGAAGTTTTTTATTAAGTTACTACTTTGGTCGTAAAAGTGGGTTAGTTAACCCAATTTAAAGTTAAATTCCTTACAAAACTAGGTACAAAAGTAGCAATTCATTTGCATTCTGCAAACGTAGTGGGACTGTGAGTTGCCGACTTGCAACCTGCACTGAACAGATAGTTCGATCCTCCGGACAAGAAAAATGGGTTTTGGCCCAACTTGGCACGTGCTACCCGGGTCATTCTTGAATGCCTTAGATTAGATATACTTTTGGGTTAACCTTCTCGCCCAGTTCAATGGCGTGAACATTCCTATATCAAAGTCTGTGCTGACAGATCGATTGGACAACACCTTTTTTCACGCAGGGATTTTCGTATCGAAAATTTTCCATCAATACCTACATAATCACCATACCTACATGAACATAACATAGCCTTAAGAGATAAACTTAAGACTTTATGGCACTGACGTAATATTTCTAACTAAAGCCTGACCAGGAACATAAAAACCCTGGCATAGAGGCGCTTCAATTGCATTTGATAGTGCAACACTGAGTACAGTCGTACATGTGTTAAATTAATAGGCTAAATTTATGTATCAGGATTCAGGATTACGGGCTAATTTGATATTTTGATAAATGAACGAAAAATATTATTAAAGGTAACCTGGTTTAAANTACACCAATCAATATTAGGTACACATTGCAATGGCAAATTGAGTTCGGAAATTTTTCTTGCTTGTAACTTAAAACGCTTACTGTCTCTATTTGCGATTTCGAAGTTCACAATTTCCGTCTCACNATAAAGTTTGTTTACACTTTGACAACAATAGACTGACATGCAAGGTGACATGTCAATGAAGTTTTCAGTTACTGTTGCCATTAAAAGAAATTAGTACCATTAGTTTTCCGCAACATGGCGAGGGTTTTTATGTTCCTGGTCAGGCTATAAATTACGCTCGTACAAACATTACTATGAGTAGACGCACAGTGTCAGACACGAACCAACCACAGAGCTCTATTCAACGCTGTGCGTTCGATTTGCTGCTTCACTTAAGCAAGAATCGTTCGTGAATTAGGCTGGGTTACGCAATCTTACTTTAACTTTAACAAACGTCAAAAATCTGTCAAACTTCATACAAAAACCACCGGTTATCGTCATAGTTACAGGTAAAGTTAATGTCTTCTCTCCTAGTCAACTTTGGTTTTAAAAATAGATTGTAATATTTAATATTAATAATCATTTAATAAAATTTTTACTAACATTTTTTGTCTACCTCATTAATATGTATCTCAATTAGTTAAACCCTTACAGTTTGAATGTCAGATTACGTGAAAGAGAAAAATAAGCTGATTTGAACCCAGATAACATGGGAAAAGGGTTGGCAAATGAATGGCGATTGAAATTAGACTTATCTAGCGGAATAAACCCGTAAGGAGCAGCCAGTTAGTACCCATGTTAATTCTTTCATTTTAGATCCATTAAATTCAAACCCTAAATTACAATTTTACCACGATTGATGTAATAGAAATAAATTGAAAATGTTAACTTAGGCTGGGTTTCACAATCTTACATTAACTTTGACAAACGTCAAAAATCTGTCAAACTCCACACAAAAAGCATCGGTTATCGTTATAGCAGACCTGTTCATCTACGCGAGATTATATCGAAAACAAAACACGCACGATGGCCCACCTACAGGATACTATTCGACAAGGCCTCACATACGAGCGAACATTGACTCACGCACGCGTTTTCTTGTGTATGATGGACGAAAATTAAGAAAATGGTGTACTAAATACTGTGCAGTATTTAACTGCCTAAATAATAATAAAAACACAGAATGTACTTTTTTAAGTTGCCTCAAGACACTGAGAGGTAAATAAGTAGATAAAATTATTCATGATAGATAATTCATGCTAAATCATGTAAAATCATGTATTTCCTCCGCAATTTTCCGCAGTTTGGCACCTCACGTCACATCATTTTACCGAAGTCAGCCCTATAGCTTCGGCGCAGTGTCGATCACTGACGTTTGTCAACAAAATGGTGCTTGACTCTTGAGACAGGCTAAATTACACCATATTGTTAATGACATTGGGCATACATTTTTTTAAATACTTTAAACCTTGCGAAGTAAAACTTCTGTACGTAGTACTTATTATTATTCTGTGGTAATAGTTACCATCAAAGTAATGAGGTGCAACTCAGCCTTAATGTTATTACGCAGTGGCATCTTAGTTATAAGTGAGCGATTTTCCAAATAATATGAATAGTCTGATATTCTTTGAATCATCTAATTGATCTTATTAGCAAGTCTGGAGTCTGTTTTGAACATTATTCTCATGATTATTTATTTATTGTTATTATATTCTACGCTCCCTAAAATAACCAGTTACTGTAAAATTAACTAACGCCCGTATTCACAATCGATGCTTGCTTGAGTGAAGCAGCAAATCGAACGCACAGCGTTGAATAGAGCACTGTGATTGGTTCCTGTGCGTCCACGGGCACTGTGAGATTTCATAGTAATGTTTGTGAATACGGGCGTAAGTATTTTTACGACTGCCAATAAACTGCTACGAATTACTCGTAGCTACGTGCGCTACGAATTACTACGCGCGCTACGGTCTCTCGTGACCTGTCTATGAGCTGTGGTAATCCACTAAACTTTACGTTGATCTGTAAGGGTTCGGCCAAATCAACGCGATTAGCCTGCGTGCGCGATGGCGTTGGCAATGGCGATCAATGCGTTTAAGTCTGATTGCTATCGCCATCGCCTTTATGCACGCCGGCTGTACGCGTTGGTTTGGCGGAACCTTAGGGTCCTCGCCTACGTCGATTTTTGTAGTGATGCTGTTAGTTAAATAAACTATTAAGTTGCGCGTTAGTCGCATTTGCAACGCACTACAGAAGCGATGCCAACGGGGCTACTAACGCGTTTCAGCAGCACGACTGTAACGATGCAAACGCACGACCGTGTCGGACGACATCGGGGAGAGAACGGAGGGAGGGTTACAGAATCGCGTTTGCATCGCGACAGAAGCGCGACAGTATTGCGTTTACATTGCGACAGAAACGCGTTTATGTGGGCGAGAGTACCTACACAGCTAGCGAGCGCATTGCGACTGTATCGATGCGAACGCGCGACAGAATCGCTACAGCAATGCTACAAAAAGTCGCCGTGGGCGAGGGGCCTTAAATGATTTTGTTTTTTGCAATAAGAATTAGATGCAAAGTTACACTTTGCTCTTCTTTTAAGAAAGAATGCAGGAATCCCGCAGAATGCAGCTTATTTTAAGGAAAATTTTAATAAAGGAATTCGCGAGGACGAAAGTCGGAGTTCTGAGAAAATTCTTATTATTTCGGTGTGTTTCGTATAATACGAGTAAGTAGCCTAGTTATTCTAAACTATTTTCAGTTCAAAGGCGATGACGTTGTAATGAGAAATGTCCGAAATAACTGAATAATTTGTAGCATTCCGAAACAAGTTGCTTCTGTATTAATTACGTAAAGATTTTTTGTAAACAATCAAAATATAATATGTGACCTCAATATTTAACTCTCTTTATTCACCGCTTCGATCCAAGAAAATTATATCTGATTATTGAATAATCAAATTATGAAACCATACCACATTTTTTTTATAAACAGCGAGTTCAGATAAATTGTTACTGAATTAACGAATTTAGTTTCGAAAATAATTGACACAGTCCAAATATTCGTTCAACTTCATTTATATTGTCTATTTTACCAATAATAATTAACTTTCAGAATACTTGGAAACCTATTGCAATAATTATTATCGTCTGATATGCTGTCGGCTGCATCTGACAGCCTGTCCATCAAAAGGTTTGGTAAAAAAGCTTGTACCTATAGACAAAATATCTCTTTTACAGATCAATGAGTAGACATCCATACTTGAAAGAAAATAACAGACAAGTTGACCTAATTAAAGGTAAAACGACAGCTAGACTTTCAGTTATGCTTCAGATTTCTATGCTCCGTCACGTCATAATCCGTCACGTTAAAATTATATGGTTGGCGCATTTTTAACAAATAAACAACACTACAGGCCCCATCTAATTAATTTAACATCCACTCTTTCCACTTCAAACAACAAAACAATAAGTGCCTTCTAAGAACGAACCAGAGCATGAATACGCAAACCTTAAACGAGTAGACAGAGCACACAATGGTCGTATAAAATGCCTAATAAACAAACAAGAATTTTTGCAAATAAAAGCCATTTCTCGATGGTGGAGCAAATTTATCGGGGCCCTTTCGAAATATAGAATGGCTGGAGGCCGGTGATTTACTACTGCGATCGTGGGAACGAAGGAATAAAGGATTAAATGCCCGGACCCTGTGTGCTTCTTATTTTGCAAGTTATATTTCTTGCGAGCATTTTAGTCTTAGACGTTTAGAGAATTTTTGGACGGGTTATAAGTAATTCTTAACCAAGAAAGGGCGATTATGCGTTCACGTAATCATAGAATGGAATAGTAGAAGAATTATTAATGTGATATACTTTACAGACAAGCTGCTTAGTTTAGCTCATAGCTCAAGCTGAACACTGGGATCTTATGTATAGTTGTAATAGGAAGAATATAGTTTTGCAACGATAATGTGTGCCTAGATGCTACAATGATACTGAAAAGGTATCCTCTCATCATGGTATTGTAGCATATAAGTAATGCCACGACGCTCTTTTTCCTTGAACGTCCAAGTAATTCCACGACACTGGTCTGATCAGTATTT